GATTAAGGTATGGATTAAGGAATTTCGTACTTAAAGATACTAAAACACTAGATGGTACTAAATATGATACACTTTTGGTTTGTGAGAACGGACTGAGAGGCAATCCTAAAATTTTGAATTAAAATTACTGACAGAAGTGTAGGATTGAGACATTGAGGTAATCTTGAAAAGTCGTAATTATATGTACTAAATTGTACTAAATTTGATCAAATTTAAATTTGGCTGAACGGATAGAGATGGAAAAGTCATATATCGTGTAAGACAATGGCAATTCCTTGAAGACACTTTGCAGACAACAATGTGAAATCGTTGACGAAATTTTCACACAAGTGTCGCAGTATTTATGCACGACAACTTGGGCGACAGGGTAAGCGAAGTCGTCGTTGACGACAACTTCGGCGAGTAATCTCCCTACTTTCGTAGGGAGATTTCGTTATCGAAATTGTCACGCAAGAGAGTATTTTCTACTGGGATATGCAATGTAAAATATATTTACTTACACATACACACCCTGTAGCTGTATGAAGGAAAAAGCTTCCATTTTTGCAAGATCTATTTTTGTGGTGTTTTTCATTTTTTGGTAATAGGCGCTCAGCATCAAACAGAAAGCATATTTCGAAGCATGGTAGAATTGAAATTCGAATAACTCCGGAAGTACTTAACCGATTTTTATGAATTTTGCAGCAAAGGTTAAAACCCGCTAGCAAGAGGAACTAGTTCGTAATCAGAAAGTCGTCGATTCTCAGCTCTACAGTGACTAGTTCCACTTTACACCCCTTTACAATGTATTTAACTGTTTACTTTAACATGGGGATGTCATAGGAGGCAACCAATTGACACTCCTTCGCTTACTCGAGGGCTAGTATTATACTAGTTACAGGTTTACAGTCAAAGACTAGTTACATTAGACTACCCACATTTCTAGTTCCGTAAGAACTAGTTCAGTACCGTTTTTATGGTGAAATTAGCAATAAAACACTCATTTATTAATTGGATTTTAATTTTTATTTTTTTTAAATACATATAAGTAAAACCGTACTACTTTCATACTGCAATTTCGGTCGTGTCAGATCCTTCGGTTACAGGTATTGAATCTGGAAATAAATAACAATGATTATAATATTATAGTAAAAAAGAGAAAATATGTGTCTAATATCTTACCTAAAAAGAACATTACAAAAATTACTAAGATAATGTAACCCCCTTTTCCATAATTTTCCAGAGTCATTAATTCACGTTTTATAGTAGATGTCATGACCTTGATTTGTAAGGAAAATACAATAATATTTATTCAATAGGAAATAAATTATATTTAGAAGTACTTACATATATATCCTTCCATTTGAGTTAAAAATTCATTTGTTTTAAATGATACAGATTTTCTTTAATATTTCACAATTTGATGCCACCGCACTTCAAGACGATCACAAAAAGACTGGTTATTTCCAAACAAAATTCATCTTGCATTCATGAAGAATAACGGATTTTTTATGCAGACCAACCACCAAAAACCGTGTTTTTTTTCTTTATGGTCGCAAGAGACTCCTTCTCGTTTACTACAGGATAAAAAGGTAGTCAATTGGTTCGGCTGACATTACTTTAGGATCAAATTTGTAACTGGTACGATATAACTAGTGCTGAGACTAGCTACATAACATCAAAAATACTAGTTTTTGTGGCTGTTGGGAGAGAATGTTTAAATATTTTCTCTTCTCGTTTGAAAAAATAAAACTGAGTTTTTTTTGTTTAATATCGCAAGTGACTCCTTCTCGCTTACTATAGGATAAAAAGGTAGTCAATTGGTTCCTCTTGCATTAATTTAGGGTCAAATAAGTAACTTTTACGGTTTATAACTAGTGCTGGAACTAGTTACATACCATCAATTGGAATTTTCATTGCTAGCGGGAAGGAATTCTACAGTTTTATTACGCAATGACATTATATATTTAATACACCTATAATGGTGATTTTTTAGCTATTATATTTTTGGCAACACAGTTTTTACCAGCATACACACATCTCGTGTTTTGTTTTCCTGTCATACATCTTCAGTTTGGTCCATAATTTTATGATGAATCGTCATTCAAATTATTGAATTTGTTTTTGTTTTTTGTAATTAAAGAAAAGTCCTTATTTTTGATGGCGGGCGTGATAACTCCTCACTGGAACATCGGAATCCGAAAATTGACTTCGCTCTAAAATTAACAAAAATTGCGGACATTTGAAAAAATATTTTTGGAAAATCGCCGATTTTTTATCAAAAACCAAGCTAAAAAATAAGGAAGATCTTCACCGATTGGCTTTATCCTAGTTCATACGATAGCTATACACAGAGAAACGTGTAAAAATTTAAAATCGATTGGGTTATTAGTTTTTGAGAAAAAGAGAAAAACGCGTTTAAAGTTTGAGAAGCCCTTTAGCCGTCACTTGATGCTGACACAATAAATCGGCTATATCTTCAAGAGTTCTTGAGATTTTCACTTCAAATTTTGTAGGGACATTCTTGATTTAGTGTAGATTCGAATTAATTAATTCGAATAAATTAAATAAACAGATTAAAAAAAAGTACTAAAAATGTGTGTCTAGTATTTATGGACGTCTAAAAAATCTCTTAGTGAGGGCTCACAATATTAGTTTCTTAGTAGCAATAACGCCCAATGTCACAATAATGGCTCCCAATGAATTAAAAAATCCCAAAAATTTGGTGCAATTTTGCGCAAATTTCACAAAAACACCAGGCGCCCAGAATGAATGAAAAAAAATAAATAAATAAAAATTTCGAAAAATTTTGGTCTGGCAACACCCAACCCGCGAAAAAATTCGAGTGCCTAAAAGAATGCTACAAATTTTGCAATTTCTTTGTACGGCATTGCCAGATGTAATTTTTTTACATTTTTTTGGAGGGCTACTTTCTATTTTCCTAGGCGCCTGGTATTTTTTGTAAAATATGCGAAAAGTACTAAAATATACTAAATTTAGTACAATTTCGGAATGGATAGAGTTAAAAACATGAAATTTGGAATATAACGATCTGGCTTTGGAAGCGTGTACTTATGTATACGAAAAGTATTATATGTTACTATATTCGGTACAAATTTAATTTGGAGGTACAAATCTAGTTGGAATCCTGAAAATTTAAATTAGCATTACCGTCGAAGTGTATAGGATTGGGATATATACGTAGTTTTGGATTTTTTTTACTTGTGTGTACGAAAATACTAATTGGTACAATTTGGATGTGGAAATTCCTACTAATGGGAACTAAATTTTCTACAATTTAAATTTTGGGTGAACCAATACAGCTGGAATCCTGAAATTTGGAAGATAGGGTTACTGCTAGGGTATAGGATTGGGATATGTAGAAAGTTTTGGAAATTTGTACCAATGTGTACAAAATGGTACCAAATGGTCTGAGTGAACCGATTGAGCTGGAATTTTGAAATTTGACGTTCGGATCACTTTTGGGGTGTAGGATTGGGCTTTGTGGAAAGTTTTGGAAATTCGTACTAATGTGTACTAAATTTGGTACAATTTAACTTTTAAGTGAACCAATTGAGCTGGAAACCTTGAAATTTGGAAATAAGGAGTGTAGATTGGTGTATGGATGTAGCTTTGGAAATTTATACTTATGGGTACTGAAATGTACAAAATTTGGTACAATTTGCATTTTGTGTGAACTGATAGAGCTGGAACCCTGCAATGTTTGTACTAAATGTTACCAAATTTGAATTTGGGTGAACCGATAGAGCTGGAATCTTTAAATTTGATGTTAGAATCACTGTACAATTTAAATTTTCGGTGAACCCATACAGCTGGAATAATGAAATTTGGAGATAGGGTTACTGTTAGGGTATAGGATAGGGATATGTATAAAGTTTTGGAAATTTGTACCAATGTGTACAAAATGGTCCCAAACAAGGATTTGAGTGAACCGATAGAGCTAGAATCTTGAAATTTGAAGTTAGGATCACTGTTGGGATGTAGGATTCAGGTATGTATAAAGTTTTGGAAATTCGTACTAATGTGTACAAACAGGTACCAAAATTGGATTTAGGTAAACCAATAGACCTGGAATCCTGAAATTGATTAATAAGATTTCCATTGGATTGCATGATGTAGGTAGTAAGGGAAATTTGTACTAAATTTGATACAATTGGATGTAAGATTGAGCTATGTAGAAAGTTTGGAAATTTGTACTAATGTGTACTAACTGGTACTTAATTTGGATTTGGGTGAAGCTATATTTAAAATTTGGAAATTTTACACGAGTACAAATTTTGTATAGAGCTAAATTTCTTTTGCGGTCGGAATTAGTCTGTAGGGTTGAGATATGGAGGTAGTTTTGGAAAAAAGTACTATAAGAGAACATTGGTACTAAGTGGTTCCAAAATTGTTAATAATGTTTGGTATTGGGTTTTAAATACTTCCCACATTCGCTAACGAAGTAGCGGGTATATGCTAGTTATAAGTAAAACAATCAGGTAAAATCTATGTAAAGACTCATCCAAATTATATAATGGGATTTTTTAGTTTGCGTCCAATATAATCGAACATACGAACCTCCCGAAATCAAAGATAACGGTCGATTTTTGATGAATAAAACCTTTTCAAATTCTTAAACCCATAGGGTACTTGAGTGTGGCCCTCAAAGTGCTACAAACAGAATGACAAGTGAATATAACTTCCATATTATAGTAGAGGGTATAAAATTACAGTGACGCTATTATTATTTTATATCGAGGGTATGTATGTATGTCGAACGTGTAACGTCGTTGATGCTTTCTTTAACCTAGGCAAACTTGCATTGTCATTTGTGTATGTGAAACTGTGTGTGTTTGCGAAGCAAATGCAATTTTATTTATCTTATCTCGTATTTGTTTTCTGACATTGCAATTTTAAAAAATAATAAATAAAACTGACCACATTACATGAAGTAGTCATATTGATGTAATAGATCTTCAGCATAAATTAAGGTTTCAAATAGTTATTTTATTAAAAAAAATATTAAGAAAAAAAAATACAAAATGGATCGTTGGCATAATAAAGTGGCCGTTGTAACAGGAGCCAGTTCAGGTATTGGCGAAGCCATTGTTAAGGATTTAGTTGAAAATGGTTTGCAGGTTGTTGGCTTGGCAAGGAGATTAGAACGTGTGGAGGATATACGCAAAAAATTATCACCTACAAAACAAGGAAATTTAACCGCCCTACTATGTGATGTCTCCGATTTGCAGTCAGTTAATAAAGTATTTGATGAAATCATAACCCGATTTGGTGGTATTGATATTTTGGTAAATAATGCTGGATGTATGAAACAAGGTCAATTAGTGGACATGAACATTCAAGATATTCAACAAGTTTTACAAACAAATGTTATGGGTGTTGTTTATTGTACACAGCGGGCGTTTAAATCGATGAAGGAACGTAATTTCCCCGGTCATGTTGTGCTTATTAACAGTATTGCCGGTCATGGATTTAAAGCATTGCCCCATACACCGGAAAGCAATATTTACGGCCCATCGAAATTTGCCATCACAGCTATAACTGAAATCTATCGGCAGGAATTTAAGGGTTTGGAAACGAAAATAAAAGTTACTGTGAGTTGGAAAAAGTTTTTAAGATATTGTGTGCGATATAACTAAATTTGTATATATTTTCTCTACAAATAGAGTATTAGTCCTGGTGCAGTGGATACGGAAATATTACCCCAGAATGTAAAACACTTGATTGGTGAAACAATGTTAAAGGCCGAAGATATTTCATCTGGTGTTCTTTATGCCATTTCTGCACCGCCTCATGTGCAAATCCATGAAATGATTATAAAACCTCTGGGAGAGATGTTTTAATTGTTGAATACAAAAATTAAGATTAAAATAAAAATTGTAGCTTTTGTTTAACAAATTTATGTAAAAAATTAATATATGTAAAAATAATTGTAATGTTATCAATTTCGGGGTTTCAAAAGTAAAAGTAAATAGAATACATATAAAATATTTGTTCATTATATATCTTTTTTATACTCTCAGCCTTATGACTAATGAGGGTACGGCAAGTATGTATCTTATCGAAATATTGGTTTTAGACCCCATGTATCTTTGGACCAAAACCATTTCTGACAATTTGGAGTTTACAAATGTCCGTCCGCCCATTTATCTAGCCGGCTGGTGCGCAACTCTCGAAGCGAGTAACCGATTGCATCCAAACTTTGAACATCGTAATATTTCTTCCAAACTTAGTGAAAGTTCGAAGATGAGGAATATCGCATCAGAACGGACTATCCGATTTTGACTAAACTTCCAATATTATATACTCATTGTGTTTTGTTCCATAGACTTCCGTAAACCATAGGCTGAGGGTATATAACTGTCGGCAACACCGACTTACACTTTTTTACTTCGTTATTATAAAGTTTGAACGTTGAATTTATGTGTGAAACACTACATCATTTAAATGAGTTCCACGCGAACTGTTCTTTCGACCCTTTTTGGCACATATTGGACTGTAGCTCAGCCATAACTTGACAAATGTTGGTTTTCAAGCACTCAAGCCTTAAGGTTTTATCTGTTTAAACATGTGTAGCCCATAAAAAATGTTTCTTGTAATAAATATTCGTTCAACCAATAATATGTACTACCTACATCGTACTTCCGAAATATCCCACTTATGTATATAAATATATATAAATACGATTCCCATGCCAGATTTTAAGATTTTAGATCTATGTCTTCACTCCAAAAATTTTAGAAAAATTTCGTACAGTATTGTACGAAATAGGTTTGTAAAAAATTTCTTCGCCAAAACTTTTCAATATTGTTCCATGTTTTGATTTCGATGTAATTTTGACCTTTCAGGCTCTAGATGAGTAAAAAAATGGTCAATATATGCACATCATACCGCTCTATTTTAATTATTTTCATGGCTCTAGATGGAATAGTTTCATGGCTTCAATCGAAGTATTTGTAATTTGTCATTCCAGGTCTTAAGTGGTTATACCGTCCGTCCGTCCGTCTGTTGGTGTTAAATTGGCCCAAGGACGAACCCTATTGAAATTGGGAAAAATTGGTTCAGATTCAGATATAGCTCCCATATATATTTCCGTCCGATTTTATGTAAATGGTGTACCAAAGACTTATATATCGTTCGATTTGCACGAAATTTAGCATAGCGTACTCAATTAAGTCTAGAATGATGTGTGTTTATTTTCGTGAAAATTGGTTCCGATTTAGATATAGCTCCCATATATAGTTTCGTCCGATTTTATGTAAATGGTGTACCAAAGTCCCTATATATCTTTCGATTTGCACGAAATTTGTTGTGTGTAGATGTGTTTTCCGTGGATCTTCTCCAGGATTTGTTGCAGTGTGAAAATCTGGTCTATGCTCCAATTATGTTATTGATCATTGGCTTCCGTCGTTCACATGAGCTCTGGATAATCTATATATATAAAAGAGCTTAGTGTTAAGTGAGTGAGTGAGTGACTGACTGACAGATCATCGCCCAGACGAAACGGCTAAAGCTAGATGCTTGAAATTTTGAGTGTAGGTTGTTGTTGTGTGTAGGCGTGAGATAAGGCTGGGTTTTTGGCGATTCGTACTATAAGTGTACCAAAAGTACTAAATTTAGTTCTAATTCTACATATATTGAACATATATAGCTAAAATCTTGAAATTGTATATAGAATACAGGTTACGAAGTGGTGTTGATGTATAGAAATGGTTTAAGATTTTCGTACTTATGTTTTTTAAAAAGTACCAAATGGTAATAAATTTGGTACTATTTGCATTTAGTTGAGTGTATATAGATGGAATCCTGAAAATCGGAATTAAGACTACTGTTGGAATACAGGATTGAGATAGCTTTAAAAAATCGTACCTTTGTGTACGAAAAGTACTTAATGGTACTAAATTTGGTGCAATTTGGATTTCGGTTCACATATAGAGCTGGAGTCTTGAAATTGGGAATTAAAATGACAGTTGCAGTGTAGAATTGAGGTAGTTTTGGAAATTCGCACTTATTGGTACGAAAAGTACTAAATCGTACTTAAAAAAAGCTTAAAACCTGAAATTTGGAATTCTGATTACTGTTGAAGATTGAGCTATAGAGACATCTATGGAAATTCGTATTTGTGTGTACGAAAAGTACTAAACGGCACTAGATATGGTACAATTTGGATTTGGGAGAAAGGAGGGAGCTGGAAACCTAAAATTTGGAATAATGGTTGCTTTTAGAATATAGAATTAAGGTATGGAAGCATAGTACGTATGTGTACTAAATGGTACTATATTTGGTACAACATGATTAAGTGGATAGAGTTGGCCTCCAGAATTTTGGAATTAAAATTACTTTTGAAGTGTAGGATTGACGTAGTATAATTATAGAAACTGGGTACGAAAAGCTCAACATTTGGTACAAATTGGACATTGGTGAACGGGTAGAATTCGAATCCCGAATGTTGCAACTTAGGTCACTGTGGGAGTGTAGATTTGATAAAGTTTGGAATATGGGTACGAAAAGTATAGAATGGTACCAAATCTGGTACAATTTGGTTTTTTATGAACAGACAAAGCTGGAATTCTTAAATTTTGACTTACGATTACTATTTGAAATAAGGATTGAGGTATATTTGGAAATTCGTACTTATGAGTACGAAAAGTACTAAATTTGGACTTTGGTGGAATTAAGTTTACTGTTGGAGAGCAAGATTGATGTAGTTTTAGATAGTTTTACTTATAAGTATGATGGTACTATATTTGGAACCATTTGGATTTGGATCCTGCGATTTAGAATTTAGATTACACAGCGGGCTGAATTACGTCTAGAACAATGTGTGTTAAACATCGGGAAAATCGGTTCCGATTTAGATATAGCTCCCATATATAACTTCTTCCGATTTAATGTAAATGGTGTACCAAAATCCCTATATATCTTTCGACTTGCACGATATTTGGCACGGGGTACTTTACTACTTCCCTTACTGGTTTTAATCTGTTTAATGGAAGTAAAAGAGATTTCGGAAAATAGTGCTTATGTGTATGAAGAGTAATAAATCGCAAACTATAGTACAACAAATTTACTGTATTTACGATACCATATGAAATATTTTTTGTATTCCCTTTTCGCATACGAAGTAGCGGGCACATTGCTAGTACTTAATATAGCAAAAACTCATTAGAGTGTATGATATTCGTAGTCATTGTATGTATACAATGACTAACAACTTTTTAATTATCTTATCAAATATTTGATATTAAATCCAATTCTATTGTGAAAAAATAGTCGCCATTAGAGTCAATAAATCGGTGATTCTGATGTAATATTTGCCCGTATATAAATTGATATAGCAAAACACTTCCCTGTTCATTCATTAACTTACGCTAACACATAAAACAACAACTAAAATTCAATAAAATAAAAACAACTAAACATGGAACGCTGGCAAAATAAAGTCGCAGTTGTAACGGGTGCTAGCTCAGGTATTGGTGCTGCGATCGTTAAGGATTTAGTAGAGAATGGTTTACAAGTGGTTGGCTTGGCTAGAAGATTGGAACGTGTAGAGGCTCTGCGTAAACAATTGTCACCAAAGAAACAAGGAAATTTAACTGCCCTGCCATGTGATGTCACCAATTTGGAGTCAGTTAATGAGGCATTCGATACAATTATTACGAAATTCGGTGGCATTGATATTTTAGTGAACAATGCCGGTTGTTATAAACAAGGACAATTGGTTAACATGAATATCGCTGAAGTGCAACAAGTTCTACAAACAAATGTTATGGGAGTTGTTCATTGTACCCAACGAGCTTTTAAATCGATGAAGGAACGTAATTTTCCTGGTCATGTAATAATCATTAATAGTGTTGCTGGTCATGGTGTGGTTTCGCCGGGTGGTATTCCTGATAGTAATATCTATTGTCCATCGAAATTCGCCATTACGGCAATAACTGAAATCTATCGACAGGAATTCAAAGGCTTGGGTACCAAAATAAAAGTTACTGTAAGTAGAAGTGATATGTGATTTTAAGTGAAATAAGTGGATCATATTTTTCTTTAAAATAGAGCATTAGCCCCGGTGCTGTGGATACGGAAATTATTCCCGATAATGTAAGACCTATAATTGGTGAAAATATCCTAAAGGCTGAAGATATTTCATCTGGAGTAGTGTATGCAATTTCAACGCCTCCTCATGTGCAAATCCATGAAATGATTATAAAACCTCTTGGAGAAATATTTTAAGTTAATCGGAACTTTTTGTGACTACTTACGTGATATATTGCAGTTTAATTTAAAAATAATTTTTGATATTTAATAAAAATGTGATTTTTATTAATTTTTGTAAAAATATGATATAAATAAATATTTTGTAATCAATAGATTACACAAAAAACAAGTTTTAATACATGAAAACTATACAACAACTAAACCTGGTTCAAACGAACATGGTTACAACACAAGCAGTTATTATCGCAATGCTTAATTGCAACTCATGTTGATAAATATAATTATACTAGCAAAGTACCCGCTACTTCGTATGCGGAAAGGGAATAAAAAATATTTCTTATGGAAATCGTGAATACCGTATAATTAGTTGTACTATAGTTCTGAATTCCACCTCTATTCCTACATTTAATATCAAGTTTATTACCATTAAGTACTCTTCATACACATAAGCACTATTTTCCGAAATCCACACTTTAGCAAAAACGTATAGTTCTGAATTCCACCTCTATTCCTACATTTACAGCCTTATTCTGGATATTTGCTAGGGAGATATCTCGCATGTAAAAAAATTCGCTTTCACATTCTCGCCTTATTCTGAATGAATAGGGAGATGCAAAAAATGCGAGATGCGGATTCGAGTTTTCGAAAATGGTGGTTGAAAAAAAGATTCGTGTTGCCATATCGTAAATTAAGTTGCAATGTGTGTGGCCATATTGTAATTTAAGTTGCATTGTGTGTTGCCCCATTGTAATTTAATTGTGTAACATTTTTCAATATATTATTTATTGATTTTTGTTATTAAAAATTGTTAATTTTTATTGTTATTTAAACTATATAGCAATACAAATGTGAAATATCAAGAATCCGCTGTATAAATGCTTTGTAATTAAAAGAAAATAAATTAAAGTTTGAAAATATGGCAACCTACAATATGGCATGTGAAACAGCTGTTCATTGTTTTGATGCAATTTGTTGCAACTACTACAATAGATTACAAATAAAAGAACATTTTTATGATGGCAAAAACACAACGAATAATAGGAAGGAATCTGCGATTTAATTAATTAATACACAGTTTATTATTTCACTACATAATTGTGTGCCTTTTTATTTAATTCCTATATTTTATCTCCCCAAATTCTTAAAATCATAACATAGATTTTCTTTTGAAAAAAAATTTTTTTTTGTTCTTTCATAATTATTATTTAAATTTTTCACTCTTAAGCGGCTCATCAGGCAAATTTGGGTTTTTAAAATTTTTTCTTGAGAGACAGATCCTCACCCAAAATGTCTGTATTTCGTCTCCAAAAATCAAACTCGACTTAAATATGCCTTATTACCTTCATACATTTCTTGGCAATACTTGGTTCAGCATGCATCGTTATCAATGGGATTTCCAATGGCAATTGCTTACTATCATTTATAATATTCTAAATCGTCATAGAATAAGTATTGTGTAAATATTTTTCATAAAAATAGTTATTACTTATGTTTTTGTAGTCAACTCACTTTAAATTTATTAGCGAAAAATTTCGAACAAAATTTCATCTCATTCTCCTACTCCCTGTAATTCAGAATACCTAATTTTTTCCCAAAGCGGATTTTTTCGCTTTCGAACTTCATTCAGAATAAGGCGAAAGAGAGAATGCGCAAAAAATCACAGGAAAATGTTGTTCAGAATAAGGCGAACGGAAAGAGCGAGTAAATTCACATGGAATTGACATCCAGAATAAGGCTGTTAATATAAAGTTTATTACCATTAAGTACTCTTCATACACATAAGCACTAATTTCCGAAATCCACACTTTAGGAAAAACGTACAGGTTCCACATGTAATTCCATTTAGAACTTTTCGAACACATAATTCTACATTTTCAAGACTACCTCTATACCGTCACCTCCACTAAATTTAATACCAAAAACCCTTTGGTCCTTCTTTCTAACTCTCTGTCAATGACCAACATTCTAAATTTTAGGTTTCCAGCTCTCTCCGTTACCCAAATTCAAATTATTCCAAATTTAGTGAATTTTCTTCCACCATAGTCCAAATTGTTCCAAATTTAGTGGTTTTCATACTCATAAGTACAAATTTCCAAATGTACCTCAATCCTTCTTTCAGATAGTCCAAATTTAAGAATTTCAGCTCTGAGTGAAACCATTCCGCACTTTTCGTACCCATAACCAAACCAATCTCAATATTCCAAACCTGCTTTCAATCGTAAGTCCAAATTTAAGAATTTCAGCTCTATCTGTTCACTAAACTGTCCCATATTTGGTACCATTCTGTACTTTTCCTACACTCCCAGAGTAACCTAAGTTGCAACATTCAGGATTCGAGTTCTACCTGCCTCTGCCTCAATTTCCCACTGAAACAGAAATTTTATTCATTAATTTCAGGATAACAGCACTATCTCTTCACATAGATCCAAATTGTACCATATTTAGTACTTTTCGTACTCATGAGTTCGAATTTCCAACACTGTCTCAATCCTTTGCTATAAGAGTAATTTTATTTTCAAATCCATCCATCTCTATCCTTTCACTCAAATCTAAATTGTACTAAACTTAGCACCATTTAGTACAGATAATTACGTATTTTTAAAACTACCTCATCCTACACTCCAACCTTATTTTTAAGTCCAAATATTAGGATTCCCGCCCACACAAAAAGAATTGTACCATATTTAGTACCAATTAGGTCTTCTCGTATCCATAAGTACGAAATTCCAATACTTCCTTAATCTTGTAATTTTAATTCCAAATTTACGTTTACTATCTCTATCCGTTAACTCGAATCAAACTTGTACCAAATTTTTTTTACCATTTAGTACACATAATGACGAATTTTAAAAAATTACCGACATATCTCAATTCTGCACTCAAACTGTAATATTAATTCAAAATTTCAGAATACAGCCCTATCCGTTCACACATTTCTAAGCTTTTCGGTACCATTTAGTACTTTTTGTTTCTATAATTAAACATTTCCTAAACTATGTCAATCCTACACTCCAACAGTAATTTTAATTAAAAAATTCGGGAGTTCAGCACTATCCGTTCACACGTAATCAAGTTGTACCAAATATAGTACTATTTAGTAGTAGGTAGGTGACATGCTTCCATATCTCAATTCTATATTCAAACATCAACCATTAGTCCAAATTATTGGTTTCCAGCTCTCTCCGTTCACCCAAATCCATCTAGTGTCGTTTAGTACTTTTCGTACACATAAATACGAGTTTCCAAAGATGTCTCTATAGCTCAATCTACAACAGAAATCTTAATTCCAAATTTCAGGTTTTCAGTTCTATCCTTTCAATCAACATCCAAATTGTACTAAATTTAGTACCATATATATACCTTTCGTACCAAAAAGTACGAATTTCATAATCTACCTCAGTCCTACACTCCAACAGTCATTATACCCTTCACCACACTGTGGTACAGGGTCTTTGTGCATATGTTTGTAACAGGCAAAAGAAAACGAGATAGACACATGGTTCCTTTTGAGAATATGCATAGAATCACTTTCTAAGTCGATTTATGCATGTTCCTATGTCCATTTTAAATTGTAAACAAAGTACAGGTCGCATTTATTATCCGAATTGGATGAAATTTGGCATAGGTCACTTATTCGGCCCAAGGACGAACCCTATTGAAATTGGGAAAAATCGGTTCAGATTCAGATATAGCTCCCATATATATATTTAACCGATTTAATGTAAACGGTCCCTATATATCTTTCGATTTGCACGAAATTTGGTACAGCCTAATCATTTAGGTCTAGAATGATGTCCGCCAAGTTTCGTGAAAATCGGCCCAGATTTAGATATAGCTCCCATATATAGTTTCGTCCGATTTCATGTAAATGGTGCACCAAAATCCCTATATATCCTTCGATTTGCACCAAATTTGGCATAACGTACTGAATTGAGCCTAGAATTATGTCTGCCAAGTTTCGTGAAAATCGGTCCAGATTAAGATATAGCTCCCATATATAGTTTCGTCCGATTTCATGTAAATGGTGCACCAAAGTCCCTATATATCCTTCGATTTGCACGAAATTTAGCATAACGTACTGAATTGAGGCTAGAGTACTGTCTGCATTGTTTCGTGAAAATCGATCCAGATTTAGATATAGCTCCCTTTTATTATAGATTGATTTTAAGTAATTGACGCACCAATAGGCTGATAGGAACAAAATGTTCTGAAATTAGTATAACCTAACATGTGACAAGTTGGTTTGAAATCGCTTAATATTTGGATAGAGCTTCCATATATATTTTCGCCCGATTTCAAGTATATTGGGCATCAAACTCCTCATGTTAGTCAGATTGACATAAAATGTTGCACAACTTACAAAATTGAGTATAGAATTACGTAGTTGCATTTTCTAGAAGTACATACATAGCCCAACGGATGACCTATTTATATTTGTTTGAAGTCGATTTACATACTTTATGGATAGATCTAGGTAGATTCACATTTAGATAAATATCACATATTTTATTTCATCCAATTTCATTTTAATAGTCCTGTTTAATATACCCATAGTGGTGAAGGGTATCATATAGTCGGCCCCGTCCGACTTTACTACTTTCCTTACTGGTTTTAATTCCCAATTTGAAGACTTCAGCCCTATCTGTTCACCTAAATCCAACTTCCACCAAATTTAGTACCAATTAAGTACTTTTCATACAAATAAGTACGATTTTTTAAAGCTAATTCCGATTATCAAGATTCCATCTCTACACACTCAACTGAAGGTAAATAGTACGGAATTTAGTACCATTTTACACTTTTTATACACATAAGTACGAATGTCTTAAACCATTTCCGTACATCAACACCACTTCCCAACATGTATTCCATTTAAAATGTCAAGATTTCAGCTATATATGTTCAATATATATATACAATAGGAACTAAATTCAGTAAAGTTTAGTACCTTTAGTACACTTATATGTCGAATTTCCAAAAACCCTTTTGCACATCTTTCTAACTTTCCATCAGTG